GACCTTGGTGAGAAAAGTCAAAACAACTGGCACGTCTTCCCTGCCTGTAAAAACTGGCTGAATCTTAGCTTCTGAGGTCAGTTTGAAATCAAAATGTTAATTGTGCGGCACATATAAAACACAACATATTTCATATGAATTAAAAAATTAAACTTTAGCCTGCAATCATTTGAAAACTAGTAACTTGTCAGCGGATAACTGCAAAAAATACTCGACCTCGATGGGTCGACACCCGAGCCTGCGATACGGTCAGGTGATACTGGTCAGCGGATACCCTGTTTTGACAGCTGTCCTTTGATCACAACATTGATGTGCAATATGTGTGCAATATCAGTCTTCCTGTGCTCCCAAACTAGCTAGAAAGTGTGGGATTGAACATTGGTTGCCCTGTGGTGCGGACGGACGGGCAGTGGGCGGGCGGTGTACGGTCACGTGATTACCAAATTTTCTGGGATGGGTAGATTTACTTACCCATGGTGTTCCGCAGGCGCGCTTCGCGCGCCAGAGCTCTGCTATTAAAGAGAAAAATTTCAAAAATCTTTCTTTCATCTTGGTGAATAATCAGCCTATAATTCACGAATCGTAACGAAAGAAATCTTGGACTGTCCTGTCCCTGGTCCTCAATATATGTCAGAAAAAAATTATCCCTTTCCTACACTAGTCAACAACTGAAACAGATGATAATCATGTAGTTTTTGCCTCTTTATGTCAGAATTATATTTCTTCTTTCCTGACCAAGTAAATGATAAGTCAAACTACTTACCTCCAGCTAAATTTGTCGCATCTGACCTGCTATCAAACCTGTTTGCTCTGGAAGATAGAATCAAAAAGTCCCCTGAATGGATACAGAGCTATTTCGTTGAAATTTGTAACAGGGAAAATTACAAACTCACATCCCTCCACAGAAGAGAAAAGCTACATAAATGTAACTAAAGCTAAAGACAAAGCATGACGCTCGTTGCCTCTCAACCTGTGAAGCGGAACTTAGAAGATCTCGGCGAATATTTCGACAAAATAGTAAAAGAGAGACAAAAGATTAAATCATCATGCAATTACAGGCAAGAAAGATTTTGTCGATGAACCTGTAAAATGGATGAACTTAAAAGTTTCAAAACTTTAAGTCAAATTAAATAAAGTTTTTACCGTACCGGCACCTTAGATTACAGAAATCACTTTATAAAATAAAACTACGGTTCTTAAATTAGTCTAAGAGTGCAATTTTTATATTTACTTTTAGACGTCTTAAACAAACTATCCCTTAATAAGACAAGGAAGCTCTCCTTCAAGCACAATGCAGTTTTTGCCTTTTTATGTGACCAAAAATTATATATATCCCTTTCCTAAACTAGCCATTAACAGGTCAAGCTACTTACCTGCACCGGGCGAAGTTTTCTGTGCCTGGCGTACTATGAGACCTTCAAAGGCTGTTTTGCTCTGGAAGATAAAATCAAGAAGTCCCTTTTTACGCCCGTGTATGGACGGCGAGCTATTTCGTTTACTTTTTTAACAGGGGAGATAAAAGACTCGCATCCCGCCACTGTAAAGAAAAGTTACATACATATAACGGAAACTAGCTAGAGTCAATACATGTCGCTCGCTGCCGCTCAACCTACGAGGCGGAACTTATAAGATCTTGGTGAATGCAAGAAAGACAAAACCATCTTCATCCCATAATAGTATACCAAATACAGGTAACATGGAAAACGATTTACGTAGATTGCTGCTGACTTACAATCATGTATACTAACCTGCCAGAGGAGACCAAAGTTCTCACCAACAAATTCGCCTTGGCTCATGAAAATAATCAATCAAACAAAAAAAGTAAACAAGGTGATGCATGAATAAAATTTAAACAGAGGGAAAAAAAAAACCCGTCAATTTTTGTTGCTCAACCTGTAAAATTGATGAACTTGAAAGATTCAAAACTTTCTGTGAGAATAAATAGTTTTTCTGTACGTTTCCGACACTTCTGTTAGTTCATGTTAAAAATATGGCAATGCGACAACAAGGTAATATTTAACTAGGAGGACGCAAAAATAATTCTAAATAATTTGAATAAAACTGGAAAAGCTTTAAGGCAACTACTGTCTTTGCAATCAAGGGAAAGTTTTCAAAATCTTCTGCTGGTGAAGAGTATGTCAATATATAGGAATCGCAACAAAAAAAATCTTAATTTGTCCTGCCCCTGATCATCAACAAGAAATCATTTCGCTCTCCGAGAAGGAGGAAAGAAACAAACAAATCTCTCTTCTAATTTCCTAGTTGACTGAAATGTCAAGGACGAAGACTGAACATTCGAAGTCTTAAACTATGAAGTATAAATTACTGGATCAACTTTCTCACCAAGAAATCTGTCTCGCGAGAAGAACAGAAAGGAAAGTGAAAATTGAAAACTCTGGGATTGTCACTGCATTCTTAGAAATAAAGCCTCGTGGACTCCCCGAAAGAAACGCCATAGCCCTTAATATAACATGCACGACGTGTCGCGAGGCAGCGGACCTAGTCGGCCCTACTAATGAATTTTTTTTACATTTTTTGGAACTTTCATACCAGGGGCACCAAACGCCTTTTTTCTCTCAAATTTGTTGGAAGGAGCAAATAATTTCTTGAAATTTCTAAAATTCGGGAAAGGCTATCCTGTTCACAGACCCTCTGTTTTCTCTTTTAAGACCGTCGAACGCTCGCAAAACAAGAACGGTCGGGATTTATTGACCGCAAGCGAATAGCCGGAGTTTTTTTTTAACAACTTACAAACGATTTTCGGAGATTAAGTTCTTCAATGATTACCAAGATATTACGATTATTGTGGGAAAAGGTCTCCCTAAAATTTCTATATAAGAAAAACGTCCACTATGATCTTCTTACAAAGTACGGCTACTCCATGCCCTCGAACTTCGACCGTTCCCATCAGGGTAGCAAACTGTTTCGGATGAGACGAAAAAATCACCTGAAACTTTTGACACACCAGCAGTTCCCCTAAGACATCAAGCTGCGGTTGTTCAAAGGCTGGATAGCGCTATCCACGGGATAAATGTTAGAGAAACCAATTGCCCTATCCAGTGGGATACAACTTGGCCCAGACACATTATGCAAATAGTTTAATTGTAAGGAAGCTCCAAGAAAGTTTGTTACATAACAAGGTCACACCCAGCCTTGCTTCTATTTAAAGGCCAGGCCACTGAGCGCACGAATGTAAAAAAAAGCGTATTCAAAATGGGGAACACAAACTTTCTGGCTTGAACTTTGCTGGCGCTTATTTCCCATCTTGATACAGGCATTAAAATCAATATTTTGATGTTGATTACAACGATTATAGCTATTCTAGAGAAAAAAAGCTCAATGGCAACTTCATTGGTGTATCCAATTAAAATGGGTTTTCACATACCAATTACAATAAAATCTAATATGAACGATAGAAATCTAAAATAAACATTTGAAAGTGATAAAGCATTACCATATTATTTAGAAAATATAAAATATGCATAATTACACCTATTGAGTGTCAATGGCTTAAAAACTCGTCAAGTGCACGTCCTTTAATCGCATTCTGGATGAGGGAATAAATACTTTTCAAAGTAACAACGTGTAGTTGAAAAGCTGTTTCATTACGATTCGTAGCATTCTTTTCACATTTGTGTCAACCTTTTGTTCTTAATTACTCAGTCTTTTAATATAGGTTTCGTAACTACATTAGATTATACGCTATGAATATTTGTATGAATATCGACGTAGAAGCGTTTTTGGCTATCTCGCCTTTAGGACAGCCGTTGTCGGTGACCAAACTTATTATTAGTTCCTAAGTTAGTCTAAAGCTCTAATCCTCGGAGCTTGATCATACAATGTATTCCATCGAGGAATACGTTCCCAGTTTTTTTGTCCCAATGGGATTCCTATTCCGGGTTTTCGTACCGGGTAGTGTATCATTCCTTTCATTCTACCTTCTGTCGCGTTCCATATTATTTAAATGTTCGTTGAACTGTATTGCTAAGACATCTTGTCAATAAGCAGAGCACGCGCTGGACCATTGTGCCCATTAGGCACCAAGGATGAGTCACACTCCATATATGTCGTTGTGTTTTCATTCGCGCTTTGCGCGCTATGCGAAGGGTAGTAATGAATCAAAACCGGAAACAAAGACACCTAATTCACGTTGAAGCAAATATTAAGGAGCTTCAGCAACGTCGACAACGACGACAGTAAAAGCGTCGCTAAAAATGAATGAGCGTCCTTTGAAAGTTTATCGAGTCTATTTGGACCCGCTAAATTCCTAAAATGCGGGCGATTATTCCTGAAATTGAATTCTTTTAAAAGGACTCTATCCAAGCTGAAAAAGTGAAAAGAAAATTTGTCGAAATATGTTCAAGACCTCCATAAAAAGTCACATTTAGAGGTTTCACGTTGCAGTCGTGTAGTCGCGCAATTAATAAATAATAATGATGATGATTATCATAATCAAAGCGCCAGCATGGTGGCTCTTTTAAACGTTTGTGTACAATTTGCCCTTTTGGTTCCTCCTTTACTGGATCTTTAAACATTTTCAAAGACAATGACACTTTGCCAATGACACTTTTTTAGCACGCAAACACTATATTTATTGCTTAGTACAGCAGGTGTATGTGAATATCACTTGTTTATCGCATTATCGTACAGACTTCAACACACAAAAGCCCAAATTAAGAAATATAAAATGTCTTTCATGAGACACGATGTGTTAACAGTACGTTCGCCTAAAAACCGAAAAAGAACGTTCACAATCATGTGCCCTTTTTAAAAAGTGCTGATTTTATACGCAACAGCAAGTTTATGTTAATTCATGCGAGACAACCTTGTCTATTTAATGAGCGTCGGCAATGTCAGCGAAAACTAGAAAGATTGGCCACATTTCAACCCCCTGGTTATCCGGTGTATGCCCAGAGTAGAACTGTGCAGTAGCATATGGCCTAGCAACTAAAACGCCTATTTCCACCTGTAGACAAACAAAATGTACCGCGTGTATCACTCTAAGCAAATACTTTGATGATACGGTCGCCTTGGTGGGGTGTTTCAGCCAAGAAAACTGGAAAGACAGGCCTTGCACCGCCTTCTGTCTGAGGCGCGGCAAATCCACCTTGTGGACCATTTCCAGCCCAAGCTCCTTCGGCTGCGCGAAATATTTCGGCTACTTGGGCTTGTTGAGCTGGTTGTAACTGCGTGTAAACATTTTCTTGAATTCCCAGAGTACAGGAACATAAACCACCAATTGGAGCACCTCCCTGCTGAATTCGTTGAAGATACACCAAGAAGCGATGTTTGAACCAAGGTGCCATTAACTCTTGGTTGTTAGCAGGCGGAGGATTGCGTCTGGAAAACATTGTGCCACGATTATTTGCCATCACGACGCCGCTTCACTTCTTCCTGTATTCTACCTCAACAACAATTTCGAGCTCAACTTTTCCTGTTTGCTCTCAAGTGGTCGTGTGACGTTCTACTGAGCAATGCGGAATTTTTCACGCATTGCATGGTCAACAACTGTGTTGCGCTGTGGCATAATGATCAATAATAACGGCAATAATAATTATAAGTTATAAATTATAATGATGATGATTGTAATAATCAGTTATTGATATTCATAGCGCCAGCATGGCGGCTCTTGTAAACATCTGTATACAATTTGCCCTTTTGGCAGCCTCGTACCTGGTCGTCCTCGGCGATATCGGAAGGGATAAAAAAGCGTCGGAAATAGGTTGGGATTCTTTTATCAACGTTTGTCGTAAAATACATAGGGTTATGATGGAAGCTGCCTGCCGGAATGAGTTAAAGTATGGTGAACTTCGTGAAAGATGTGCTCTGTACTCAGCATATTATCTACCGGACGAAGAAATCATTAATCGTATCGCAGCACAATGCAAGAGAGACTTCAGTGCTAGTCTAAGTGTTATCGGGAATGATAGTGGACTCATAAATGCTGCTTTTATCCACGAAATTTACAAAACGGAAGTCATGAAGTGCTGCCAGCCTTTTGAATACACCTCAATGTGGCAGATACAAGCTATAGGGGCCGTTATACCGAGGAAAATCAGGAGCGTTTAATTTATCCTGAAACGACTTCAGATGTAAAACAGTTTCGGTCCAGGTTTCTTAGAGTACTTAAGATGAATACAATTTAATTCCATGTCCAAGATACCTTCGAACAGTGTATCTATTCACCATTTTAAGACAGGGATGATCCTTTGGGGACTAGTGAAAACGTTTAGCCAAGCTATCGTTGTTGTTATTGTTGCACGACCCCATAAGCTGCATAGCATCATCGTGGTAAAATAATGGCTCAGTCAATTCCAAGCGTGAACACCCCTCCCCCCCCTCCCAGGCATTTGTCGAGCATCTGTCATTTTGTTTTGGAAAAGCTGCAAATTGCCCACAGTGTGGACGGACATTCATACAAAAGCCCCTCGGTGGGGCTTCAAAATGGGGTGAAAATGCCACACCCCGGGACAACACTAAAATTGCGTTTTCCAGTAAATAAGCTGCAAATACCATACCATCTGTAATAATCTGATCAAACTCGAGCGTGAAGCAACCTACATAAATTGCTCCTAGCCCGTTCGTTATAATTATTGGAAAAAAGCACACTGATCTGATTAATATCTGTGAGAGAACTATACCTTTCTTGGAAGATGTTTTTAAAATATAGTGAATGATAAACAAACCACCGACGAGCTTAAGAGATGAGTATTTTCACATCACAATGGAACCGAAGAAGACTAGGACCGACAAGATGACAAATAGCCGACAAATACACGGGGGGGGTGGGGTGGGGACACGCTTGGAATTGACTGAGCCATAAAAACTGTCTGCCTGTCTGTCTTAACCAGATTGGTTATCCCAAGGTACAAAGCCAAGGTAGAATGTTGCTAATATGTACAGTACTCTGTGGCTTAAATGGAATTATGACTACAGTGGAACCTCGATATAAAAAAAAACATATCGAGGTTCTTTTTCATGTATTTTACTATTACTGGGGTCAAGTTATATAGAGGTTCCTTATATCTAGGTTCTAGCGTACTTCTATCAAATTTAATCTTGAATCACTTTCACAGCAGTGGTCTTCCAGTGAGCCGTAAGTTTAAAAACAATATATTTTACGTGAGTTTTTGGTACTACTTTAAAAATAGAATGTTTTGCATGATCTTTAAGAGCAAACAGTTACAAGGTACAAGTTTAAGGGACTAGGTTATTATTACAAGCAAAAAGCATATTCAAACACCAAAATGGCATGTAGAACTCAGCCAATGGTACCATTATGGTGTCAAAATGAGTGGAAGAAGTAGGTAACAACTAGGTAATTCTAAATCAATTCTATTTCAGATTGTTCAAGGGAAAGTGATTAAAATCAGGCAAGCGGAAATCTTGAACTATGCAGCCCTTTCGAAAGGAAAGCCATAATACTGTCGATTAAACAATCATCAAGATAAAGAACCGACAAAGATTTTAAATATTGTTGGCAACGAATGAAGGAGATTCCTAGGTATATCGAAATATTCGTTAAAAAATACTCTCTCATTTTCCTAGATACAGTAAAAGTGAGAATAAAGAAAAATGCTGATATTTAAAGTCAAGGTAGGAAATCAATAATAAAAAGCAAAAGTACCAAATTCTAGATCAGAATGATCGCTGCATTCTGCTAAGAAATCGAAGCCCAATTTTGATCACTAATAATTGTTCTTCTTAATATAATATGAACGAAATTTCTCAAAGTAGTTGAGAGCTGAAGACTGTACCATAAAGCTGTCCTCGGCTTTTAATTTAAAAATCTGTACTCACTTTGGTTGGGAATCTGCTGGTTTCTGTCACAAAAATTTCTACTTTTTTTCACCGCAAGACAGATATCCGTTCTAAAATTAATGTAGACAACCATAAAAAGCTCTGACAAAATTACTCACCTCGCGGGTCTGTCGTGACTCTAGTCAATGTGAAACTTCTAAGAAAGGGACTTTTCCCTACGATATAAGAACAAAGACTCTATTGTGACGACAGTTATAAGTGGGTGTCGCATAATTAAAGCGTCATTGTCCAAATCCATTCATAATTAGTATCCTGAAAAAGTGGTGCGGAAATGACAACATAAAATCTCCTTAATCTTTTTCGACACGTTTATTTAACAGTGCATAGGTATAAAACCCCTTTAAAACTGGCATTACAAAACTGAAACACACCAGCACGCTAGGAAAACGTTTGTCAGAGACCCAGTCATGCGTTTTTACATGCTTTGCAGACTTCCAGCGGGTCAACAACAGCACAAAGTTTCGCCTTATTTGTACTGAAAACATTTACTTCGTTTACTAAAATTATCGTTTCTCGTAGCAGAAAATTGGTATAGTCATTCTTGCCAGACTGTTTCGGCCTGATTATTTATAAAATGACATTATTTATCTGTACCAGCTCCATCATCTCACACATTCGTGCGTTACTAAAGCGGAAGATTTGTAACGAAAAAAAGCGAGCTCCTTTTTTTGGTATGAAACGAAAATGTACTTTTTAAAGTTTAAGAAAACTACTTACCTTCCTTAGAGGAAGTTTGTGTCGCCTGACTTGTTGTAAAACCACAGCGGTCTCGCTCTGCGAGGTTAACGAACCCAGCAGTCTAATGTAGCGGTGCAGGGATAAACTTCAGCTACAAAACCAACATACTCGCATCCTTCAAAGGCAAAGAAAAATCACACCAATAAACCTGAGAAGTGAAAAAACAAATCCTGTCAGCCTAGACCTGTAAGGACTGTAAGCGGAGTTCACAAGATCCAGAACTTTGCGACTGAACAACAACCTTTAGACGCCTTTTGTTTGAATTAGCATTTATGAAATGAGGTTGTATCCACCTAAGTGAGAACCAAATTAACCAGTTTAAGTTAGGGAAGTTGATTTGTCTTTTAACTAGTCAAGACCATTTATATCAACGAAAAAAAAAAGCGAAATCTGCAACTGACATTCCAAGAAAGTGTAGAGGACTAAATGCTCTCATACAAACATTAGAAAAAAAGGAAATGATTTATGTTTGTAAATATATGCTTAACTAGAGAGGATAAGAGAGTTTTTAAGAGAGATAGATCAAAGAGTCCTCCAAGAAATCTATCACCTAGAGTACAGTGGAGTACTATGATGCTTTGGGAATCCCTGCATTTTAAGATCAAAGCCACTTATGATAATGAATTCAATAAGGGAATACGCTTTCCAATTAACATTCGCAAGGTTTTTTCTTAAGTTCAATTATATTAACGTAAACTGAATGACATGTCGCAATTGTAAAGTGATTATAAGTTGCAGTACTAACTCAGAAATCTCTATCACCAGGAGTGCATAAGAGAAATTGAAAATCGAAAATTCTGGGACTACTCCTGCTTTTTAAGAAATAACAAGGTTTTGTATGCTACTGATTCGGCGAAAGGAAGACACATTTAATGTAACATGCATGATTTGTTTCATTAAGGTAATGAGACGCAATCTGTATCAGTCTGTTGTTTTCAGAACCCTTTCAGGTTTTGCTTTATGTAGAGGCAAAACAGCTTGATGTTAGCACCACTTTAATTGTGAGTGTCATCCTGCGAGAAGAGCCTCCGTTCTTTTCTGTCTTTCTTGATCGAGGAGGAGAAAAAGAGGCTCTGCCTGAATGACGTCAATCGTTTGAAGTAGCCGCAGCCCGAACGCCTGGACTAGTTAATCTTGTTTAATCTCGTCAAACTTGGTTTTGTGCGAGCATCCGTTTATTGACAAACCGATGTTCATAACAGAACCCGCTGTGCAAGCGCACGAATATTAGGCCTGGGTTCGAAGCTGTATCCTAGCAACTGAACATGCAACGCACGCTCAACAAAGATCTTATCCGATTCATGCATGCAGAGTTCATCCTCGAGAATGGCAAAATCGAGTAAGCGAAAGAAAGGGTCCACTGGCGAAGTGTACAATTTCTTTCAAGATCGTTTGAATCATATGAAAAAGCAACTGTTATCTTAATTGACAGTGGGTCTTTAACACATCCAAGTAAGCTTCCTTATTTTGCTTTCGGAAGAAAAAAATACAAAAACGAGCCCTAGCAACCCCTTACAATAGCTTTCTATTTTGTCTTTCATGGAAATCACTAGTTTGTAATTTGGTTAACAAAAAACTTTAACAGCTAAAAGAACACAACTTACCCCTTGGCCCTGTAGTATGGCGTTCCGTTGCGGACAAAATTATACCGATAGTAAAAACATGTTGAAAACATAAAACATAATAAGTTTTGACTTGCGTATTATGTTTTCAACATGTTTTTGCCATCGGTATAATTTTGTCCGCAACGGAACGCCATACTGTAGTGCCTCTGGCCTATTTACTTTGGAAGTTGGAAAACTCGGGACTTTCC